TTAATTTCTGTGTACTTATAAAAGGGCTTCAAAATATATGATGCAAAAACTAATAGAACTGCCAGAAGAAATCGAGAAATCCACAGATGTAGTGATAGAGTTGAATATAACTGACAGAACAAGTAGATTATCAGAAAGGATATATAAAATTTGAACAATACCATAAAGTAGCTTACCTCATTAACATTTATATGATACTGCATTCAAGAACAGCAGAATATATATTTCTTTCAAATGTTCATGAAACATTCATCAAAATAGATCATGTTTTGTAAAATCTCAAGTTCTCTGACCACAATAGAATTAACTTAGAAATTAATAACAGGAAGTTTTGTTAAAAATTCCTGAGTATCTGGAAACTATACAACAATGTTTAACTCATGGGCTGTTTATGAGATCAAAAAGAAATGAGAAGATATGTTGTACTAAACTGGAATGAGAACACATAAAAAATTGTGGGATACCATTGAAGCAGTAATTAGAGGACTATTTACAGCACTAAATGTCTATATTATTAGATAAATAAGAAAGGTCTTAAATCACAGACCTCAACTTCCACCTTAAGTAGAAAGACGAGTAAATTAAACTTTAAATAAGCATTAAATAGGACAAATATTGGAGTAGGAAATGAAATAATAGATTAACAGTTGATTCTTTGAAAAGATTGATGAATTTGATAAACATATATCCATATTTATCAGGAATAAAAAAGACACAAATTACCAATATCAAAAAAAGAGATAACTACAGATTCTACATATATTAAATGGATAATAAAGCCATATTATAGAGAGCTTTATGCCAATAAAGTTGACAACTTTAAGAAAATGAATAAATCCCTTGGAAGACACAAACCACTAAAGCTCTCTAAGAAGAAATAGCCTGAATAGTCCTCTATTTATCAAACTAATTGATTACATAGTAAAAACTCCAAACCTTCTTGACTTCATTGGTAATTTTTACCAAACATTTAAGGAAGAAATAATACCAATTCTGCACAAACTCTTCCAGAAGATGAAGCATGTGGCATTCTTCTCCAGCTCATTCTGTGTAGACAGTGTTACTCGTATGCCCAAACCCAACAAATATATTACAAAAATAGAAAACTGAGCAATATTCTTCATGAACATAAATGCAAAATTCTTA